ATGTAACACATGCGGCGTCTCCTTGGGCAAGTGACTTTGTTCGAAATGTGCCTCTGTTCACCTAGCAGTGAATGGGTACCCGGTAGGATGGGATGACATCCCGGTAGGATGATAGTTAACCACCTAGCGCCATTAGGCAGCTTGGGTTGTATACTCCCCAGGGAGCTGTGAATGGCTTTTCAGTGTACACTGATCCAGTGACCTTGGTAATCATAGCGCTGTGAGCATGCCCCTGAGTGGTGTGGCAATATGCGCAATATAAAAGGCCTATTATTAGTAGTAGTATAAGTAGTAGTAGTATTGTTGTTGTTATTGTTGTTTTTTGTGAAGACCATACCTGCTCACCCATTCATTCATAAGTGGCAAAGGTCGTGAATACATATATATATGGACACGTCAGCCTTATGTTTGTTCGTAGTTTCACGCCGCACTCAGCAATAGTCCAGGCGGTCCAGACCAGACGCTCCAGTGACTGACATAACGAGCTGGCTACGTAATTGGGATACGATGACATGCATCAACCAAGTTTGCCTGCCCTGATAGTCGGCACTTAGGACAAGCATGGGTCGCTGTGGGATGCTGACGACCAGTTCTACCCCGGCCCTAATGAACGAGGGAAGCCCGATACCACACAAATCAGCGTCTATAGCTTCGGTGAAATCCACGAGCACGGGTGTGTGTTGACAGACTTAAGATCATATCGGCCTCATTAGCCCTGTACTTACACGTCCGACTGTGGCATTGATATGTTCTCGTCATACATATGCCTTTGAAGAATTCCGATCTCACATTTCAACATGTTTTGAATGATTCAGAAAACGCTCACTCACGATTACGAACTCATTACAAATTGCAATTGTAGAGATCGTTAGAGTAAATGGAGCCGTATTCTGTGGCGATACTTTCCTGAAATTTGCTATCAAGTTTTCAGCAACTGCTTAATATCTTTTTACACACGAAAAAATAAACGTAACGAGACAAAACGAGCTCAGCGTTAAAACCCTGACCTAAATCATTAGTTGGATGATTCAACACGTTCTATTCAAGACAGATGTAAAGCTGAATACAGTTTGAATTAAATGGATCAATATTTAGCCTAAGAGAAAGATTCAGCTAATCAAACCAACGAAAAACTCCGGGAAAACAGCTGTGACTGAGCGACGATTAATCGGATCTCAAACTGAACATTATCCCCGCGCCTGTGGGTATCTGGGTGTTTAGCCCGTGGGGGGCGTCTCTAGGTAACCTAGTAACACAAATTAAGATGGTACTGCAGCCTTAATTGAGTCGAACTATGCCAATGGGGTATATCATTCCTCATGTAATGAGCAGTTTCGTCCATTATGAGAATTAGTAGCCTTGTCCGTGTTTTCACTGTCGCTGTATAGGCTTGGCGACAGGCAGTCCACAGGGGATGCTAATGTGTTTGTTCTTCATCCTAGCTCCTCGTCCACACACATGCACTTTGGAACATTGCTAATGCGTGATTCTCCTATGAGGAATATCCATGGGGGTGCTCGATGAAATAGGTCCAATATCTCCTGGCGATTTCTTGCGTTTGTTGACTATTGTTCCAGTACTTTAACTCAAAGACTTTGTTCTAACTTATCGAAGATGAAAAACACTATATATTACAAAGTACAAACCAAAGACTAGTCTATTACAACTTAAAGGGCAAGTTCACACGGAAATGAACCAATTTTTCTTGTACTTTTTCCACATTAAAAGTGTTAACATAGAAGTGTCATAGACAAAAATATAAAAACATCATATTTAATTAACATATTTTTTGCATTAAAACGATTTATATTTTTCACATTTACCAAGTGTTCTATTTCCATAACAAAAACACCATGGCTTATGCCCCTTGCAATATGACGTCATTGGTGCCAATTGATAAACATTATGACGTCATCATGCTTTGTTAGAGCCGCTTCACGTGGTGTAGGTACAGTTTTGTGATTCTAGCGTCTCAGATGCCAGCCAGAATTGTGTTATGCTGAGTCACCACTACGCCGGAGTGTGTCGTAGACCATGTTGTTTTACCGCAAACTGGTCCTTGATATCTTTTGCGTTGAGAATAGACAGGGACCCAGTTGAATTGGCACCAATTACGTCATAATCTAAGGGGGATAACTCAGGCCTATTTCGCTCGTAAAACGAAGGCCTCATAACGACATATCATTTTAACACTATTGTGAGCTTCCTACTTTCACTGTGAAAAAAAATGAGCGTATATTTTCAAACACAGATACTAACTAATTCTAAAATTGCGTTTTGTTTAGAAAAAGAAAGAAAGTGATTTTTGCGTGTACACTTCCCCTTTAAGGAACATCATTGTTTATTTTAGTTTTAGAAAAAAATTATGTCATCGCAATTAATAATATCTGTCACCAAGTTTGCAATTTATTTATCTAACATCCACTTTTTATTTTTTCATCTTGTTTCTTTTGTAATTGTGTTTTAAATATTACATGTATGTTTACGTTTAGCGATTGTGTGTCTGTCTACAACGCTATCTCTGTTTGCAATAAATAAGATCATCTGATCTTATCTTATGGTTTGTTTGTTCGTTCACTGTTCAATGCTACTTTCAACAATAATCTAGGACTATGGCTGCTGAATGTACATAATCAACACAGGACCAAATTATCAAGTCTGTGAGTTGATGAACGCGACGGAGGCAGAACGAGAAGGACTCAGCAGCAACATTGAGGTTACAAGCTGGGATCCAGGCTGCCGGGATACGATGACACTCTATCAACCAAGTCACACAACCTGACCACCAGATGCATTAAGTCGTCTTTCCAACCAGCATAGGTTTTTGGGACCAATTGTAATCCGAAACCCCACAGGGCCTCGTGTATGGAGCAAGCAAAGTGGTGATCGGTGGAGCCACGTCTGGGTTAGGGCAAAGACGATGTAGTGTGGCACACTGCACGCCAACTGTGGAGATGCTTCATCACATCCACTCACTGTCTGATGTCCAGACCCGATGCACATACCTGTGTCATAAAGCAGCGATACAGCTGACTGCTACAAAGATTTTAGTTGTAGATTTCGTCCGATATGTTACTGGGGAGCACGGTGAGACATTCCTTGGCCAGAAACGTCGATGTTATCCTGCTCTGTTTCGCTTGGTGCATGTAACGCTGTTATGTAGCTGGAGAATCAGATACTAGAGGTGCATGGTACAACCCTGGTTATCGCCCGTACACGTATTCCTGACAAAAGCAGGTGTTGGACACCTTACTCCCGAGACACCCTTCTCCCGAGACACCTTCCTCCCGAGACATCCTTCTCCCGAGACACCTTCCTCCCGAGACACTCCCCTCCCGAGAGATTCACTAGATACCATACTCTCGAAATCTATTATTGATAAACAAGTATCCTAAACCCGAAATACACTCTAGAAAATTTCTACTCCAAGGATGTCCTATACCAGAGACTCTCTACTCCACGGATGTCCTACACCAGAGTATCCCTACTCCAAGGATGTCCTACTTCAGAGAATCCCTACTCCACGGATGTCCTACTCCAGAGAATCCCTACTCCAAGGATGTCATACATCAAAGAATCCCTACTCCAAGGATGTCCTACACCAAAGAATCCCTACTCCAAGGATGTCCTACTTCAGAGAATCCCTACTCCACGGATGTCCTACTCCAGAGAATCCCTACTCCAAGGATGTCATACATCAAAGAATCCCTACTTCAAGGATGTCCTACACCAAAGAATCCCTACTCCAAGGATGTCTTACTTCAGAGAATCCCTACTCAACGGATGTCCTACTCCAGAGAATACCCACTCCAAGGATGTCATACATCAGAGTATCCCTACTCCAAGGATGTCCTACACCAGAGAATCCCTACTCCACGGATGTCCTACTCCAGAGAATCCCTACTCCACGGATGTCCTATACCAGAGAATCCCTACTCCAAGGATGTCCTACACCAGAGAATCCCTACTCCAAGGATGTCCTACACCAGAGAATCCCTACTCCAAGGATGTCCTACACCAGAGAATCCCTACTCCAACGATGTCCCACACCAGAGAATCCCTACTCCAAGGATGTCCTACACCAGAGAATCCCTACTCCGAGGATGTCCTACACCAGAGAATCCCTACTCAACGGATGTCATACATCAGAGAATCCCTACTCTCAGGATGCCCTATATCAGAGAATCCCTACTCAACAGATGTCATACATCAGAGAATCCCTACTCCAAGGATGTCCTACATCAGAGAATCCCTACTCCACGGATGTGCTACTCCAGAGAATCCCTACTCCACGGATGTCCTACACCAGAGAATCCCTACTCCACGGATGTCCTACACCAGAGAATCCCTACTCCACGGATGTCCTATACCAGAGAATCCCTACTCCACGGATGTCCTATACCAGAGAATCCCTACTCCAAGGATGTCATACTCCAGAGAATCCCTACTCCACGGATGTCCTACACCAGAGAATCCCTACTCCACGGATGTCCTATACCAGAGAATCCCTACTCCACGGATGTCCTACACCAGAGAATCCCTACTCCACGGATGTCCTATACCAGAGAATCCCTACTCCACGGATGTCCTATACCAGAGAATCCCTACTCCACGGATGTCCTACTCCAGAGAATCCCTACTCCACGGATGTCCTACTCCAGAGAATCCCTACTCCACGGATGTCCTACACCAGAGAATCCCTACTCCATGGATGTCCTACTCCAGAGAATCCCTACTCCACGGATGTCCTAAACCAGAGATTCTCTACTTCAAGGATGTACCCTGAGGTACCCTTCCAAAGTGACCCATAATCCATAATAGTGAAACCATACAACGTTAAACCGCCATTAATCTGTATGAATGCATAACATGTTAACGTTGTGCAACCAGATTACTCTGCTGCTTACTAGACACATACTACACATGTTTGTGCCGCAGGTGGCGAGCACCTTGCATGCATGTTAAATACCGGCCAATCCGCTCTGTTACAGTGCACTTACCCTTTTCTTGCCCAAGTTCTGTACTTCACACTTGAGCCGCGCCAGCTTCCCCGCTTCGTAGGTGTAGTTGTCGGGGGTGGGGGCGAACACCGGGGACTTCACCTCCCAGGTCTGCGTCTGGACGTAGGGTCGGTCATACGCTGGAAGAGAGACAATGTCATGTTCATCACGTCAAGAAGAGTAGGTTACATTCATTTCACATCAGCGTGTTTAACAATACCTTTAGCAATATTTCAACAATATCAGTGAGCGGATGATAGGAACTGAGGCAGGACGAGGAGGAATAAATGGATGAGATGTATGGAGGCAGGACGAGAAAGAGTGGGTGAGTGAGTAAGTGGAAGAGAGGGATGGAGGCAGGGTGAGATAGAGTGAGTGGGTGAGTTTAAGAGAGGGATGGAGGCAGGGCGAGATAGAGTGGGTAAGGGAGTGAGGGAGTGAGGGATGGAGGCAGGGCGAGATAGAGTGAGTGGGTGAGGACGAGATAGAGTGAGAGCGTGAGTGTAAGAGGGAAGGAGGCAGGACGAGATAGCGTGAGTGAGTGCGTGAGCGAGGCAGGACGAGATAGAGTGAGAGCGTGAGTGTACGAGGGATGGAGACAGGACGAGATTCGTTTAAGGGTTGAGTTGCCGAGCTTGGATGATGGGTGAAGCTGCAGAAGTTCAGTCAGAACATGCTTCAGTTAATACCCGACATAAGGATGGTAAATATTTTGTCAGGTGAGCAAAGCCATTCTGGTGGTTGGGGTGTGGCAATAGATTCACGTAGACCGATTCAGTGAGTCATGAACTACTAAAACGTTTGATAACATTGCCTAGAGCAGTGAAGACTACAATCCTATGTCAATGAACACAAACACCAGCAATATTTCGGTAAAGACAAACAGTGAAGACTACATCACATATCAGTGAATTCAAGTCATATATCAGCGAGGTCAAGTCATGTATCAGTGTAGTCAAGTCATATATCAGTGAATTCAAGTCATATATCAGTGAGGTCAAGCCATATATCAGTGAGGTCAAGTCATATATCAGTGTAGTCAACTCATACATCAGTGAGGTCAAGTCATATATCAGTGAATTCAAGTCATATATCAGTGAGGTCAAGTCATATATCAGTGTAGTCAAGTCATATATCAGTGAGGTCAAGTCATATATCAGTGAGGTCAAATCTTATATCAGTGTAGTCAAGTCATATATCAGTGAGGTCAAGTCATATATCAGTGAGGTCAAATCTTATATCAGTGTAGTCAAGTCATATATCAGTGAGGTCAAGTCATATATCAGTGAGGTCAAGTCATATATCAGTAAAGTCAAGTCATATATCAGTGTAGTCAAGTCATATATCAGTGAGGTCAAGCCATATATCAGTGAGGTCAAGTCATATATCAGTGTAGTCAAGTCATATATCAGTGAGGTCAAGTCATATATCAGTAAAGTCAAGTCATATATCAGTGTAGTCAAGTTATATATCAGTGAAGTCAACATATAGATAACACCATTCCAAATGCACAAGTTGCAAGTTTGGTTGGAATCGATTGCCTCTCCCGCTTTCGTCACAGACGTCCTTGTAGCTCCATAGCATACCACGACTTGACGGGGACGCCTTCAGGCGTGAAGATGGGATCGAGGTAGTCTTATATAAAATCCTGAAAATTTCTTTGGAAAGTATTTCTCCATATGAGAGGATTTCCCCAAGGATCTAGGTTAATCATAAACGCTTAGAATTTGGGGCCTCGTACTAATTACCGCACTGAGCTGTAGCTATAGACGCTGACTTAAGGGAAAAAATATTGACTCCAGGCACAAGTCGGAAGTGAGCAACGAAAACACCGGAAGGCGGATTTTCGGGACCACCGCCAGCAAGGCGCAATTTGGCTTGCTCGGTAGTCGAAGCCACACAACTTGAGATTCGTTGAAAGGTGATATTAGACTCCATAATATCACTTGGTTAATGGCAATCTAATCATATCAAGATACCTCCACGGTCCTGACTCGTGTCACACATCGCACATTGAAGCCACGCGCTGATGACAGCGGCCATGTTCCTTCCGTTCTGTGAGCCATCGCCACTGCGCGTTACGTCAGGCTATTTCTGTGTTTACTCTGTATAATAATAGATTGATTTCTGTACCTCTAGGTGGAGAATCTCGAAAGAGCTGAGTGTTCTCATTAAATAACCATACATCATCTCAGCATTCCGAGATGGAAGACAGAACGCCTCAAGCTTACTGTCTCAACATTGTAAAGCCAAAATATTTCCTTCCATGTCGCCCAGTCGACGGCTGTTGAAGAAATGGGCGATCGACTTCTCGTTTGTTTGTTGTTCTAACTGCCAGCACCCACCACAGAGCGCCAGAAACCTAAGTTAAAGGGGTATTAAATATTTGCCTTTAGCGAAAAGTTAACATTCAAGACAATAATGTGCTTTCAAATTCTTATTAATAATTATCTCTCGTCTCGGGCTGCTAAAACATGCGATAATAAACACTGCTCGAGGGATCGCTCTCATCACCTCCCAGTTGAGTTGTTGGAACCGAGTGTGTCTCTGGTGCTTATCACAACGTAATGGTATGTTGTACTTAATAATAATATTATGCTGTAATGTATGTAATGTTGTGACGCTCTGATGTACGTCACGGTGTCATGATCTCATGTAGGTCATGTTGTCATGCTCTGATATACGTCTTGGTGTGATGCTCTGATGTACGCCATGTTGTCATGCTCAGATATACGTCATGGTCTGACGCTTTGATGTACGTCACGGTGTGATGCTGTGATGTACGTCACGGTGTGATGCTGTGATGTACGTCATGTCATGTTCTGATGTACGTCATGGTGTGACGCTCTGATGTACGTCATGTTGTCATGTTCTGATGTACGTCATGCTGCCGTGCTCTGATGTACGGCATGGTGTAATGCTCTGATGTACGTCATGTTGTGCCCAGATGTACGTCACGGTGTGATGCCATGAAACACGTCACGATGTGATGCTCTGATGTAGGTCATTGACTAATACTCTGTTGTTACACTGTTGATTTCGAACGCTGCTGTGTGACACAGTGTTGAATTTGTTGAAAGTTTCAATGTTGCACTGTCGACTTGTATATGTTATTACGGAACATGGACGACCAGCGGTGGTACAAACAATGGGTCCAAGGCGTTTGATGTCTCACGAGATACCGACCTCTGCTGGTCAGCCCATCAACTGCAGAGTCACAGTCATTTGTTAACGTGGATATTACAATTCCCAATGGATGAACATGGCTAAAAGATGAAACGCGTGATTAGGAAGTGCAACTTTCATGTGTTTTTTCTACTGCCTGAGTTGGTGTCAACACGTCGACGTATACAGTAATAACGTCGCCAAACTCGGCGTCCACACTGACAGCAGCGTGAACATCCGGATTAAAACAGTTTTCAGCAACCCATGCTTGTCCTAAAGAGGCGTCTAACGGGTTAGGGTGGTCAGGCTCGCTGACTTGGTGGATGCACGTAATCCCTGTTGCTTAAAACGGTACTATTGATGCTAGTTACTGGATTATATGGTCCAGACTCGATTATTTACAGACCCCTGTAATATTGCTGAGCGCGGCGTTACTCAATAAACAAACAACATCGTTACAGGGGCGTTATTACGTTGTCCACGTTGCAGCAACGTTAGTGGGACGTTATTCTGTTGTACACGGTGCTGTAACGTTAGTGGGACGATATTCCGTTTTCCTAGTTTCAGCAACGTCAGTGGACGTTATTCAATTGTCCACGTTGCTGTAACGTTAGTGGGACGTTATTCCGTTGTCCACGGTGTTGTAACGTTAGTCCACGTTGCAGCAACGTTAGTGGGATCTTATTCCGTTGTCCATGTTGCATCAACGTTAGCGGACGTTATTCTATTGTCCAAATTGCTGTAACGTTGGTGGGGCGTTATTCCGTTGTCCACGGTGCTGTAACGTCATTGGGATTTTACTCCGTGTTTCACGTTGCAGCAACGTTACTGAGACGATATTCTGTTGTCCACGTCCCGTGAAGATAGTGGGACATTATTCCGTGGTCAACGTTGGTGAGACGTTAGTAAGATGTCATTCCATCGTCCACGCTGCAACGTTTTAGGACTGTTAGTCTGTTGTGTCCACGCTGCACAGGGAAAACATGGCGATGTAGAACGTCTTGACATTTCTTTTAAAAGAAGCAAAGAATTGTTCAAAGCGCTGGATATGAATGCTTATGTTGAGACGGTAAGTTTTAAGTTCGCTAATAACCCTTTTCAGACGCTGTACATTAAAACTGAGAAGTTTGCCGATAAGGAAATAAACTTGCCCATCTCTGTAACAACCATCCCACAGGACCCAGCTGTAGACGTTAAGCAACAAGCAATCGTTTTTAAATGGACGACCCATTTTTCCGTAGTTGAAAGCAGATCTCCAAGCTCATTTATTGTAGGTAATGCATAACCCTACTTTGATCAGTGGCGATATGCCTCGGACGTGCTTCACACCACGGGGATCTGCCTTCAACACAGACCTCGCAGTATCATGGCTGACTCACTTCAAAAGGGAAAAGGGGATAATTTTCTGATCATTCCTCAATCGATTGCTTATATTTCTATAATCACCAACACATCATAATTACTTATTTCCACTGCATTACAAGTTAAATCATGATTTGCGAATGTCAAAGCCCTTGCGTGGAACAGGTCGCGAGCTTGGCATTATATCTAGAAAGTATATACATCATGTATTGATTTACAGTAAGGGAAGAACTCTTGAGGCGACATTTTGAAATAGTGCAGATTCACATACGTATCTGCCTTACACACATCATTAAATGGCGATGGAAAATATACGTGGAGCTGTTGTAAGTTGCCAATTAAGCTTGGCAAATTAACGAGAGCAGCGTGGTGGTGTGTGCGTGTTGATGTGTTGTTTGCTTAGAAATAGTAAATATTTAGCATTTTTACAGAAAACACCACACCAGTCTGCTGTCTGTACAGTCGATTATGCATGTTTAGATGAGTAGAATTTTGTTTCCTTATTAAAGACTTATTTATGTTTTACCCATGCTAATCGCATGTGTCCATAACTTTGACCATGACCTTACAATGTTCTTGACGAACTTGTTGAAGGGTATTGAACTTGGCGAGT